TCGCTTAGGATACAATGTTGAAAAAGACAAATAAGTGAAAAACAACAACATTTTGATCTAAATATGTCCATAAATAAATGGGGATATCTCCTAAGCTATATATAAATTGTCACAAAATACAAGTAGCTCCATGGGACATCTGAAAGAGATAAAAAATGCTCTGCCGCTAATTTAAAAAATAGTAAATACTATGATAGCCACAATAAATCATGCCTAAGCTCAACAATCCAACTCCACCATGCCTGCCACTAGAGGGATGTTATCAATGAAATCTGGCCATGGGATTCCCCATTTAGACCTCTCCATGAATATTTATAGCTTCACCTGCCTCATGGGGCTTCATATGAGGTTCACCAGGACCCTGGCAGGGCTCAACATCAGTACTCTGTACTCGCTCAGTCTGCTTTCCTCCGCCAGCAGTACTCAGTTTGCTCTCTCCTTCCCCTCTATTTGTTTGACTGGACAGCTCCTTTTCAACTCTTTTTTTCAACAGTTTTATTGAGGTATAATTGATATACAAACAACTGAACATATGTAATGTGTACAATTTGATGAGTTTGGGCTTGTGAAAACATCTGTGATACTCTCATCACAATCAAGGTAATTGACATATCCAATATGTACCAGAGTTTCCTTATGTCCCTTAGGTGTTTGTTTTGTTTTGTGGTAAGAACACCTAACATGAGATTTATACCCTTAACAAACTTCAAAATGCACGATAGTGTGCATGCACGATAGTGTGCATGATCTATAGGCACGATGTGGTATGGCAGATCTCTAGAACATCTTCATCTTGCATCACTGAAACTTTACACCCATTGAATAACAACTCCCGTTTCCCCTAGCACCCGGCAACCACTAATGTGTTCTCTGCTTCTCTGAGTTTCACTATTGTAGAGATCTTATATGAGTGGAATCATGCAGTCTTTGCCCTTCTCTGATTGGTTTATTTCACTTAGCAAAATGTCCTCCAGTTTCTGTTGTAACTGGCAGGAATTCCTTCTTTTTTTAAGGCTCAATTTTTATGCTTCAGTTTGTCAATTCCTGAAGGAAACCATCTCAACCACTATCTCTTCTAATTCTCTTCCTTTGTTCACATTTCTGTAAACTAAACTTGAATTCCCAGAGGGCAAGAACGATGTCTTATTCATTTTTGTAAGTCCCGCTCCTAACAGAGTATTAGGTACATGGTAGGCCTTAAATAAATATTTGTGAAATCACTTAACAATGTAAATTAGGAGAAGGTCGATGTTTTCATAAGCTCGTTTTTCTTAAGATATGAATTAATATGATCTTAAAAGGATTGCTTTCAAAGAACTCTGTTTATTTCTACCCATTTGAGAAACAACAGTCCTCTTGCTAAAAATACACTATGTTCAGAAAAATTAAACATGAAGATAGCATAGAAAAATGTAGGGAGCCTATTATTTTGCCTTCCCTTGCAATGCTGCCCTTGGCTAAGTCCTGTAAGTATGAGTAGGTGCCTCGCAAGATTTTTTGCAGCATGCTGGTATGCAGGTCATCCATTCAACCTATCATCTGAACAACTTCAAAAAAACCCAAAACGGGATGAAAACCGTACCCCAACATAAAGTTTTGATAATACTTATATTAGAGAAAAGATATTTTAGTCAACTGGAGGAGTTATTGCAGAATCAAAAAGATGAAGAATTTCCATAAACCACAATTCTTAAACAGAAAATGAGCTATTTAAGATCTTTTCTTTTAAAACAAAAGCTGACCTATAAATAAAAACACTGTTGAATCACAGACCTGTACCTCTGAAACAAATAGTACATTATATGTTAAAAAAAAGAAGAAGATAGTGGGAAGGGTAAAATGAAGGGGGGGAAATCAGAGGGGGAGACGAACCACGAGAGACTATAGACTCTGAGAAACAAACTGAGGGTTCTAGAGGGAAGGGGGGCAGGGGGATGGGTTAGCCTAGTGATGGGTATCAAAGAAGGCACGTATTGAATGGAGCACTGGGTGTTATACGCAAACAATGAATCATGGAACACTACATCAAATCTAATGATGTAATGTATGGTGACTAACATAACGTAATAAAATTTAAAAAAATAATCAGTATTTTGTTATATCACAAAAGATAATAGACCACTTTTAAATACTGTGTATTCAGGATTTAACAAACACTGTATCAGACCCATAGCTGAGTTGAAATTCTAAATCCAATACTTGAAATAAAATAAGTACCTCTCTTCCCCAAACGCTCTGGCAATAAACTAAAACTTGTGGAATTGAATATTATAAATTCTTTCATAGAATCACATACTTCTTAATCTTCTAAATTCTTCAGTAAACTCAGTTGATCTATAGTTGAGAACTCATTCCAGGACTTGGAGTAATCTTTCCTAGACATTTGGCAGGCTTGTCACAAAAGCCTTCATCATTCAAATTCCTCCTTTGAGACAACAATTAATCCAGTTTTAAAAGCAGTATCATATGTTTAGAAAGCTACATGAAGGTCTGATCTTGCCTGTTTGCATTCACCAGCTTTTCTTCTTTATAGCACAAGACAATTATTGCAAATCTTACAATGCATTCTCTGTTTTGCCAGAAAATTGGCACTGCCAGAAAAATCAACGAAGTTAATTCCTTTAAAGAATGGCTTCCAGGGCACCTGGGTGGCGCAGTTGGTTAAGCAACTGCCTTCGGCTCAGGTCATGATCCTGGAGTCCCGGGATCGAGTCCCACATCGGACTCCCTGCTCAGCAGGGAGTCTGCTTCTCCCTCTGACCCTCTTCCCTCTCGTGCTCTCTATCTCTCATTCTCTCTCTCTCAAATAAATAAATAAAATCTTTAAAAAAAAAAAAAGAATGGCTTCCAGGCTCCCAATTTATGCCTCTTTTTTCCCCACTTGCTTTTATAATCACTATCCATTGACACCAGTACATTACCAATAGAACAATTCACTTGAATGGCGAAAGAGGATGAAATGAAATCAATGCCAGGACAGCAACCTTGTACATTTCTTGACACACCCACCCATTACAGCATTCTAAGAAATTCCTAAGGTGCTAGGTCTGGAGCCCTCTAGTGGTGGTGAAAGCCACTTATTTTCTGGTTTCTATTTTCCTATCTATAAAATATATTCATTTGTTTACTTGTTCATTAAGTAATTAATAATCACATGCTACATCACAGAAACTGTGCTAGACAATGGTGATAAAACAGAGGTTCAAAAAAATTGCAGGGCAGCAGGCCGACCTATAAAGAAAATAACAGTACAAAGCATTGTGCCATGTGCTACATCAGTGCCGGAGGTATACGATCGTGGACGATGACACCTCACACACTGAGAGCACCGATAAAGGCTATATAGGAAAGCTGAGGTTGAGATGAGTGCTGGACAGAGGAGAGCTTACTTGGGCCTCTGGCTGCACAACCATGGCATTTTTGAGATAGTAAGGGAAGATGACACTACAGGTTACAAACAAAGGAAGGGCATAGAGGAGGATGGGCAAAGAGAAGTCAACGGCCAACTAAGAAGGGCCCAGAATGACACGGAGAAGATGTAGAATCCCCCTGGAAGGAGAGGGAAGCTATTAGAATTTCAAGCCAAAGGGTCACACAGTCTGAATTATCATTGAGAGATATTACTCCACTCGTAGAAGATAGAGGCAATGAGCCCCTCCGTGAGACAGCTACTAAAATACAGATACAAAGTGACAAGGGCCAAATGAAGGCAGTGGCAATGAAGAAAGAGAGGAGGAGATGGATTTGTGAGCTATCCGGAGGTAGAACGGACATGATTTAGGAGCTGTTTGGATATGGACAATGAGGGAGAGAGAAAAAAAAAAATCTAGAATTATTTCTAGAGTTTAGTTTGGGAACATGTTACTTTTGTAATGTGTAGGAGACCTATAAGTGGAGACAGTGAGCAGGAAGTGGGAGTGTACGAGTCTGGAACACAGGAGGAACGTCTGGGTTGAAATAAAAAAAAAGAACTGGAAATGTTTAATGCGTGCAACATACAGATAGGAGAGGAGGGAACACTGTTAATGGAGACAAAAAAGGATGGCCCCAGAGGTAGGAGAAAAAGAAAATCAATGTCACTACACCAAGAGAACTGAGGGTTTCAAGGAGAGAGCAGGCAGCACTGTAAATTCCCATATAGCAGTGAAATCAGATGAAGCCTGATAGGAGCCCAGGGAATCGCACCGCTCAGAGATTACTGGTGACCAAAGAGAGAACAGCGCCGTTAAGAGTAGCCTGGACACAAATCAGACTCTGATGGGTCGAAGGATTGGCAGAACCACAAGAAAAGGAATACATTTTCTAGAGGATTGGGGTAAAGAAAAATATGAGCTAATTGGCTAGAAGATCTTTATAGCTCTCTTCAGCAACAACATTCTATAAAATTCTACTAACAAAACAGTTATATCATGAAAAGTGGACATGCCTCTCCAGATATCTAACTTACTACCAGCCTGGACATTAAAAAACTGAGGCAATGGAGCCAGGTAGGTTCAGATCAGGATTCATCTACTTGGAGACTTGGCTTAGGGTGCTCCTATAGGCAGTACAGTTGTTCCTGTCCATGTAAGAAAGAAGTGGGTGAGGTATGCAGACAGCTACTAGCCTCCCTTACCTTGTGGTTTGTGTGGTGGTGGGAGGTGTAGGGAGTATAACCATTTTATTTTATTTTTTAATGATTTGTTTATTTATTTGAGAGAGAGAGATGAAGTGAGGGGGTGGAAGGGGAGTGGGGGAGGGAGAGAGAGAATCTCAAGCAGACTCCATGACCAGCATGAAGCCCAACAAGGTGTTCAATCTCATGACCATGAGATCATTACCTGAGCTGAAACCAAGAGTCCAATGCTTAACCGACTAAGCCACCCAGGCATCCCAGGAGTATAACCATTTTAAACAGTAGAAAAATGGAAATTAGCCACAGGGGAGTAAAATAATCCATAGATAAAAACAGGAAGAAAAAGGGGCTCTCCTAAAGAACAGTCATCCTACTGTTTACTCACAGGCGGTCCTGGGGGGCCTGGTTTTCCTGGAGGACCTGTTTTTCCTCGTCTTCCCTGGAAACCAAAGAGAAACAGACAATAAATACTGTGATGACTTTTTGCTTTTAGATGAGACAATATTAAATGGCAATTTTAAAGATAGTAAAAATTAAAAAATAATTTCAAACCTACTTGCCCTTTAAACATCAACGAGATCTAAAAGCTACAGGCCAAATTTTAATGACCAACAGGAGAAAAACAGTGCCTGGAATGAATAAACCTTAACTTATGAGCAGTCCTTTAAATGCTGTCTACCTTGATACTATAGTCAAGTAATATAAAGTATCTGAAAGATGGTCTAAGATTGGCATTTTATCTGACCATTCTATGGTTTTGAATGCAATAAAACCTGCATTTGTCATCTTAAATTGGTGTTTCTCAAAGAATGGTCTGAATTGTAATTTCATAGGAGTAACCTGAGGGTGAGATTGGGTGTTACATATGCACATTCTGGAGCTTCATCTTAGACTTACTAGTTTAGAATCTCTGGGGAAGGAAGTCATGAATCTGCATTTTAAAACCATTTCAGGTCACTCTTATGCTCACTAAAGTGTGATAAGCACTATCCTAAGCCATACCATAATCCTATGTATTGTATAAAGCACATCAACTAGCTCTTTTCATCCCTTTGGATGGTTAAGCTATTTTTTAACTAAACTAAAATAAATACCCCTTGCTTATCAGTCTTCGATAACACGTTGAATGTTAACTTTTCCAAGTTGACCACTAGCTAAAATTTCAATTGCAAGAGTTTGAAAAATAAGATTGTGCTAACATCTCTAGGTGACTGTGTATCTAATAACATTTAAAAGGCAGTTAGTTATTTTTTATAAACTTACTTTTTAAATTTTTTTCCTTTTCTAATAGAAGGATGTAAGCCTAGGTATTGAAAGCATACATTTTGAATAAGAAGCATTTCTGAGCATATTTTATTTTTTATTTTTTAGAGAGAGCATGGGAGCAGGGCGGGGGTAGTGGCGGAAGGACAGAGGGAGGGGAGAGAGAGAGAATCTGAAGGTGGGGCCTGGAGCCTGATGCAGGGATTAGTCTCAGGACCCTGAGATCATGACCTGAGCCGAAATCAAGAGTTGGACGCTTAACAAGTTGAGCCACCCAGGCGCCCCTCTGTGCGTGTTTTATAAATATGGTCACTCTACTTCATTGTTACTAATTATCTTATTATCATATTGGTAGTATATTAATACATATTAAGACTTGTTGCTACTGACAAAGTAAAAGTATTGGATTAATCTTTCAACATTTTTGAGGGGGGAGAACTGTAAACATAAACCCATAAAGGCCCATTTCATTCACTAATTTCCTTGCTCGGAAAGTGTCAGGCAAAGTCGCTTCCTCCTTCTGGTTTTCGTCGAGGCTGGGAGTGGGGTGGGAAGTTCAGTGCCAGTTAAACCAGTGGAGTAAACTTTGGGAGATAAGCAAGCACATACCACAATATGATTGGGTGAGAAATGCTTGCACTGTTGTTGAAAGTAGGTTAAACGCACACCATCAAGACTTCATATAAAAACAGCAGCTATTTTTATAAACAATCCTAGCTAACATCTACAGAACAAATTTTTTAAAACTTTACCAAAGTGGAAATATAATTAGTGGTATTTTCATGTATTTCCTGTTGCAGAGATCTGAGCCTGGGAGTTCCTTTGGGGAATTGTAACAGTGGAATGAATATATAATTTAATAGTCTGTATACTTATTAAAAGTTATACACATGTACATCATTTTCTGGTCTTGTAGTTTACACATTCTGAAAATCAATATATTGGGTCTTTTAGTAAATGTAAGTCAATTAGACCCTGAGGACTAATCAATGATAAAAAGTTTACTTAGAAAGTAGAAGCACTGTAATTTATTTATTCACAAGAGCACAAAGAAACAAAATCAATGGCATCGAAGTGTGTGATTGGTTCTTTCTTTTAGGTTGAAATAAGTTAAAACCATGGGATCAACTTCTGTGTGTATTCTCCCTTCTTGAAAGGAGACATGTTTATTGATCTGGGCAGGAAGTGGGGAAAATGAGGCTGACTATTGATCAACTTTTATCACAGAGTGAATGGGTAAGGCAAACCAAATGTCCAATATTGTAACATACCATTGGCATGTCTTAGGATGAGGAGTACAAACCTTCACGGTTCAGTCCGGTATGGGCAAGCAAACAAATTCTTGCATATCACTGCTGATTTACACGATCATTTAAGTCAGCCTCACAATTGCCAGAGGGCACTGATGTGTGTGCTGGAGGAGCACGGGGGAATGCTGCTTTCGTTTATGCATCCTTGCTAAGGGCAGATATGCAGGGAAACTATTTCTCAGGGCCCTTAAGTTACTGGAACATATTGTCTGAAGCAGATAACTTCAGATGGCATGGTCTTTTCAGTTTAAACGTGGTTCGTAGGCTTGAGTTCCTAGTTACACCCTCATACTGATTGGAATACTTTTTAAAGATTTTCTTTACAAAGCAACACAGTCCCCATTTTCTTGGCCATACAGCCAAATATGCCTTAAGTACATTTGGACTTAGGACTTTGGCTTAAGTCTTAAGTTTCAGTGATCTATGAAGGGGGCTCTGACAGGACAGAGCCGGAGGGTAAAGAGATGAGAACATGATGGGAGCTCCAGAAGATGATGTCTGGGAGTGGCCTTGAACTACTGCAGTGACAGAAATTGTGGACCTACTCCCAGGCATCATCTTTCTTCTCTCCAAGGAGCCCCACGAAGTCACTCCTTTGTCTTCTTCCCTCCCATTCAAGGCCTCCAGCTGTACTGAACAGTCTCCCATTCTCCTGTTCCTCCAAAACATTTTTTGTTTTTTTCACTTAAAAGCATTCAGGAAAGGTAAAAGCCTCCCTAAGAGAGAATGTACATTTTTGGTAGGGTGAATTTTATTGTTTAAGTCAGGATAATTTGGAGAATATCTTATATTAATATTATTATTTTTGTATGTATTTTTAATAACACATGCCAAGATAGCAGGCATAAACCACAACTCTCATCCTAGGACTAAAATCAGATTCCTCCAGTTTTTCTGAGGAAAGTGTCATCTATGAACCTCTGTTCTTTTCCTTACAGGGCTCTAGGGAACTGTGTGAGGATGCTCGGGGCCAGGGGTGAGGGCTGTTGCTGGTGGGGGCGATTCCATGGAAGGAATTGCCGTCTCATGGTTGTTCCCACTTCTGCCTCCTTCTATTTCAGTGCCTTCACGGCAAGGCTTGCTCAAGACCCACTGTAACGTGAGACAAAAGGTAGGGAGTTGGATGGGGGTGGGGAAGAAAATCCCAGCAGACAAAGACAAATCCTGAGCTGGGGTGGCCTTCCTGGTTAGGATGCCTGCTCCCAGGTGGCCATTTGTTCATAAGCAATTGTGATAAATTGGAATCTGGCTGGATCTCCAAGTGGATGGGGACCTACTGTTCCAGCATAATCACAATTGGGCTAATCCACCACTTTTCTGAAAACGGGGGTATAAAGCACAAAACAGATTTACCCTGTCAGGTTGCCCTGGAAACCTCAAAGTGCTCAACATGTAAGTTTCCTATTTGGAAATAGTGTAAAGGTTATTAGACAGCAGTTTAGATATTTGTCTAATGATTTAAGCCCAGGGGTGCTCAGACCTGATTGTACATCAGTATCGTCAGGAGGGCTAGTTAAAACAGATCAGTATGTGAGGAAAAGGGAACCCTCATGTACTGTTGGTGGAAATGCAAACTGATGCAGCCAGTGTGGAGGTTGGAAGCTCCTCAAAAAAGTAAAAATAGAACTACCATACTGATTCTACTACATTTGCTAAAGAAAAAGAAAACACTAATTTGGAGAGATATATGCACCCCTATGTTGATTGCAGCATTGTTCACAATAGCCAAGATATGGAAGCAAACTAAGTGTCCATCAGTAGATGAACAAAGAATATATTACATACACACACAAACACACACACTGAAATATTGCTCCACCATAAAAAAAGAATGAAATCTTGCCATTTGCCATAACATGGATAGACCTAGAGGGTATTATTCTAAGTGACTTAAGTCAGGTCAGACAGAGAAAGACAGACACCATATAATTTCACTCATATGTGGAATCTAAAAAACAAAACAAATGAACAAACAAAACAAACAAAATGCCATCTGAAGTTATCTGCTTCACACAATATGTTCCAGTAACTTAAGGGCCCAGAAAACCTACTCCGAAATACAGAGAACAAACTGGTGCTTGCCAGAGGAGAGGGGGGTGGGAGAATGGCTGAAATAGGTGAAGGGGATGAAGAGGTACAAACTTCCAGTTATAAAATAAATAAGTCACAGGGATGTAAAGTACAGCAAAGAGAAGAAAGTTGATAATATTGTAATAATTTTGTATGGGAACAGATGGTAATTAGACTTATTGTGGTGATTATTTTGTAATGGCTATGAGTTGAATCACTGTGTTGCATAGTTGAAACTACTATAATATTGTATATCAACTATACTTAAAAAAAAAACCCAACAGATTTGTGTCTGCACTTCCAGAGTTTCTGATTCATCAGGTCTTGGGGCAGGGCCTGAGAATTTGCATTTTTAAAAAGTTCCCAGTAATGCTGATGCTGCTGGCCTAAAGATGGCACTTTGAGAACCCCTACTCTAAGCCTCAAGCTCTTATTCATATTTAAAGTTAGGCAATCATGTAGAGCTGCAAATATCTTGTAAATCTTGTAGCTTAGAACAAAAAAGCCCAATTAGTTTTGTGATTATGTGAATTTATGTGAATAAAAAGCCCATTGTCAAGTTCAAGAGCACCTGGACCGGAGTCCCAGCTTTTTCTTTTATGGAAATTTTTTGTGTCAAGATTTTATTTCTGTTAAATTGATATTTCTACCTCACAACATGCCTGCTAAGCATTAAAAAAAAAGAGATTATCTGTAAATTCTTACCATATACACCCATTAGGATGGCTTTCTTTCAAAAAACAGAAAAGTGTTGGCAAGGATGTGGAAAAATTAGAACACTTACGCCTGGTGAGAT